AGGCAAGAACAAACTAATCCAAAAGCTGGCAGAAGACTAGAAATAACTTAGATCAGAGAAGAATTAAAGGAGGTAGAGACCCAAAAAAACCTCAAAAAAAAAAAAAATCAATGAGTTCAGGAGCTGGTTTTTTGAAAAAATTAACAAAATAGACAGACTGCTAGCTAGACTAATAAAGAAGAAAAGAGAGAAGAATGAAATAGACACAATAAAACATGGTAAAGGGGATATCCCTACTGACCCCACAGAAATACAAACTACCATCAGAGAATACTATAAACACCTCTACATTATAAACTAGAAACTCTAGAAGAAATGGTTAAATTCCTGGGCACTTCCCCCCTCCCCCATTAAGACTAGACCAAGAAGAAGTGGAATCCCTGAATAGACCAATAACAAGTTCTGAAATTGAGGCAGTAATTAATAGCCTACCAACCAAAGAAAGTCCAGGACCAGATGGATTCACAGCTGAGTCCTACCAGAAATACAAAGAGGAGCTGGTACCATTTCTTCAGATACTATTACAAGCGATTGAAAAGGAGGGATGCCTCCCTAACTCATTTTATGAAGCCAGCATCATCCTGATAACAAAATCAGGAAGAGACACAACAAAAAAAAAGACACTTCAGGCCAGTATCTCTGATCAGTATCGATTGGAAAATCCTCAATAAAATACTGGCAAATGGAATTCAGCAGCACATCAAAAAACTTATCCACCAGGATCAAGTCGGCTTCATCCCTGGGATGCAAGGCTGGTTCAACATACACAAATCAAAAAACATAATCTATCACATAAGCAGAATGAGAGACAAAAACCACATGATTATCTCAATAGATGCAGAAAAGGCCTTTGATAAAATTAAACATCTTTTCTTGTTTAAAACTCGCAATAAACTAGGTATTAATGGAACATATCTCAAAATAATAAAAACTATTTATGGTGAATTTACCCAACCAATATCATATTGACTGGGCAAAAGCTGGAAGCATTCTTGTTGAAAACTGGTACAAGACAAGGATGTCGTCTCTCACCACTCCTATTCAACATAGTATTGGAAGTTGTTGCCAGGGCAATCAGGCAATAGAAAGAAATAAAAGGTATTCAAATAGGAAGAGAGGAAGTCAAATCGTCTCTGTTTGCAGACAACATGATTGTATATTTAGAAAACCTCATCATCTCGGCCTAAAAACTTCTGAAACTGATAAGCAGCTTCAGCAAAGTCTCAGGATACAAAATCAATGTGCAAAAATCACAAGCATTCCTTTATGCCAACAATAGACAAATACAGAGCCAAATCATGAATAAACTCCCAATCCACAATTGCTACAAAGAGAATAAAATACCTAGGAATACAGCTAAAAGTGATGTGAAGAACCTCTTCAAGGAGAACTACAAAGCATTGTTCAAGGATGTAAGAGAGGATGCAATCGAATGGAAAAACATTCCATCCTCCTGGATAAGAAGAATCAATTTTATGAAAATGGCCATACTGCCCAAATTGATTTATAGATTCAATGCTATTCCCATCAAAATACCATTGACATTCTTCACAGAATTAGAAAAAGCTATTTTAAGTTTCATATCTAATCAAAGAAGATCACATATAGCCAGGACAATCCTAAGCAAAAGGAAAAAAGCTGGAGGCATCATGCTACCTGACTTCAAACTACAAGTCTACAGTAACCAAAACAGCATGGTACTGGTACCAAAACAGACATAGAGACCAATGAAACAGAACAGAGACCTCAGAAATAACACCATACATCTACAACCATCTGATCTTCAACAAACCTGACAAAAACAAGCAACAGGGAAAGGATCTCCTATCCAGTAAATGGTGCTGGGAAAACTGGCTAGCCATATGCAGAAAACTGAAACTGGACCCCTTCCTTACACCTTACACAAAAACTAACTTAAGATGGATTAAAGACTTAAATGTAAAACCCCAAACCATAAAAACCTAGAAGAAAACCTAGGCAATACCATTCAGGACATAGGCATGGACAAAGACTTCATGACAAAAATGCCGAAAGCAATTGCAACAAAAGCCAAAATTTACAAATGGGATATAATTAAACTAAAAAGCTTCTGCACAGCAAAAGAAACTATCATCAGAGTGAACAGGCAACCTACAGAATGGGATACAATTTCTGCACTCTACCCGTCTGACAAAGGTCTAATATCCAGAATTAACAAGGAACTTAAATGAATTTATAAGAAAAAAAAAAAAAACACCCCATCAAAAAGGGGGCAAAGGATATGAACAGACACTTCTCAGAAGAAGACATTTATGCAGCCAACAAACATATGAACAAGTTAGGACCAAAAAACAAAAGCAGATGGACACTAAAACAACAGGTATAAAATGGAAATGTCCCTGACAAACAAGTATGGTCACCCTACTTATGAGGTCAGAAATAAATTTTATGTTCTAATTGACTCTTAAGGAAATAGTTGCATTATCGCCTCTTCTTAAACTTAATTTATTTTTGCTAGGAATCCAGCACACATGGGCTTACACTCTACAGGCTGTTATGCAAACCAATGGTTTCTGTATGTCAATTGTGATTCTAGCATTGTGTCCTCTATCAGTGCCCCAGGAAGAGGGACTGCCTGGCTGTGAACATGTTCCAGATTGTGCTAGATATATTTTGCCAACCAGGCCAACCTGAAATGTCTAGGTCCATCTTTGGAGGAGAGCTCAACAAGCCCTGAGGGAATATAATTGCATTTCAGTTATCTTTTTCAAAATGTCAAATTTGAGATCCTCAAATTTTTCATTTAAAATGTGTAGCTAGGTTAATATGAGGCAAGAATAGAAAATTTTGGTCTCTAGTCTTTTGGGAGCAAACTAGAATCTATTTCCCATTAGCCCACAGCTATTCTTATCAGGCTTTTGTCTTAGTTATCTTTTTTTCCCTTCAAAATGGTTGCTGAACAGAAGAATAAAAGGCTTTTCATGTCTTTTTAGTGTTTGTTATCTTTCTACTTCTTATATGAAGTAGTTAGAAGAACAAATATTGTAGATTTAGACAAATGTGACTTAAACTTCAGGTATATCAATATCCCTTGAATGTCAACATAATCAAATCACCTAATCCAGTTGGGAATATTAATAATCTCATGGAACTTGCTGTCAGGATTAATGAGATATTCCAGGTAAAGAGCCTAGCACAGTGTTTGGCAATTAGTAGGTGGCCAATAATAAATGGCAGCCATAGTTATCAATGAAGAAATACATGATTTTAAGTAGGTAGGGCAGGCTGTGAAGAAAATGGTCACATAAGTGACTTCATACTCTATTTCAGCTTCCTTCCCACTCTCCCTCCTTCCCTCCACACACACCATGTATGCCATCTCCTATTGCCAGTATTTGGGACTCTCATATGCTCCTGGACCACTGTCTTTTCCTAGTCTAGCATCTTCTATTCCTGGTTTATCTTCCTCATCTCTTTCCTTCCAGACCTCCCAGTCTTATGACCTCTGCTTTTGCTTCCTGCCATGTGCAACCTTGGAAAGGTTCTGTTAATGTCATTTATGCCAAATGTTAAAGACTAACATCATTTTCCTATGCTAATCTTGCCAGGAGGTATTTCCATTTTAATGAAGGTCAACATCATAACCTAATTGAATAAAAGTGCAAAACATAAGTTGGAGGTATCAGCAATAGGGAGAGAAGAAGTATTTTCAAGAGATGGACTCAAGATAACAATAAAAATAATGAACAGCTAACATTTATTCAGTGCCAACTTTATTTTCCACTGTGCATTATATGCATTACTTCATTTAACCCTCACAACTAATAAATTAGTTACTATTATTCTTTTTATTTTTCTAATTAAAAAAAATGAAGCTTGGAGAGGTAAAGCAAATTGCCCAAAGTCGTATACACCGAGTAAGTGAAGAAGACAGGTTTAAAACTCAAGTCCATCTGATTATTGTCATCTCTCTTACACTATCCCTTACAGGCTGAATTTTCACCAGGGCAGGTATCTACTGACGCTTATAATCATTCTGTAGAGCCTAGTGCAGTGCCTGAAACATGGTATAATATGAATAATATATATGAATAATATAATTATTATATTCATATAATAATATGAATCATATAAGTATGAATAAATATCTGCCTTGCTCATAGTCACCTCACCATACCTATCTGGAATCACCTCTTGCTTGGAGGCCCTGCCTTGCTCCATATTCTAAGAAATCCAGACTGCTAGTAGTTCCAAATACACTCTTTTATTTTCTGTGTGTGTGTCTGTCATCTTGTCCCCTGTATCTGCAATCCCTCACTTCCCCCCAGTTTCTGGGCTAACTCCCATTTACCCTGAGAGTGACAGAGTTCACGAGTGATCTTTCCCCATGAAGCACCATCACGCTGGCCTCATCTCTCGTCCTCTCCCCACATGTTCTCTTCCCCTTTCCTACCTTGATTCAACTGAGCCAGGGCTATTTCTGTGTCTGTGTCACATATAACAGTGTTTATAAGGGCAGATATCTGACATGTTTTTTTGTACCCCTTTTTAATCTGACTTTTTTTCTTGTACTCTTCTGGCCTAGCCTACTCTACCAATTCTGAGGTGCATTTTTTTTTTCATATTTTAATACCTCTGATATTGTTATGCTGTCCAGTTGATAAAATCTTAAAATTATAATTGACAGTGGCTTTTTTTATAACTTGGTGAAACAAAAATAAGGGTTAATTTCCTTCTACAATCAACAGCACCTTTGATTTGATGAAATATAGTGATAGATGTTAAAGATCATATGAACGAATGAATGGCACTCACAGCCCTCCTTGAGTCACATTACTATGCCTACTTAAAACCTAACTGTTCAGCATCACAGGCCTCATGGCAGGGCAGCAGTTGAACATTATTCTTTATTTATGCTAGGCTTTCCTAGTAAAGGTAGGGCAAATAATAAATCAGCTAAAATTGTTTTTAATCATTTCTTGCTGGAATGATGTGACCTGTCCCATATGTTTATCTTCCAGGTGAAATTGATCTTCAGATTGTCTCCAAAGTTCAGGCTCAATACCCAGGCGTTTGTATCAACAATGAAGTTGTTGAGCCAAGTGCTGAACAAATTGCCAAATACAAAGGTACCTGTAACTCCTGGTCCTCTACCCCAGATCCTATCCCAAAAGACTTAACTCAAATTGTTCCCTTGAATGATTAATAATATAGTTACTGTGGTATGCTTTTCACAAGCTTAGTGGGAGAAGAACTGAATTCGTTCTTGGCAGGCATGACTAAACATCTCAAAATGTGAACAGTGAATAATAAACTCCCTTTTCTATTGACACTTAATCCATTCCCCAGTTGTCATCAATGATTACCTTTTGATGTTTATGCTTAGATAGAGATTCATTCATTGATCCAGAATTATTTAAACCAACCTTAAAGAGCTTATGTTTAGTGGGTTACAGTAAAAGTTCACAAACTTTTCCTGGCAAAGGCCAAATAGTAAATATTTTAGACTCAGAAGGTCAGTCCAGTCTCTGTCACAACTAATCAACCTGCCATGTACCACAAAGGCAGCCAAAAAAAGGTAAACTAATGAGCGCGGCTGTGTTTGAATAAAACTTTATTTGTAAACACTAAAATTTGAATTTCATATCATTTTCACATATGAAATAGCATCCTTCTTTTGTTTTTTTAAATCATTCAAAAATATAATGACGTGAAACATGAATGGCAGTGACACAAAGTCAGGAAGTAGAACAATATAAGTTTTTAGCTTGCAGTTCATACAAAAATAAGTAGCAGGCTAGATATAGTCCCTGGACAGTGGTTTGCCTACTCCTGAATTATACAAACATATCATCTCTTTCCAATTCACTTTCCATTGATAAAATTCACCAGTTGATTCTTCATTAATACTAAGACAATATAGCCTGTGTCTGCCCAGGGTTCTTGTAATTATTTCTTACTGACTCTTTCTTTCACCTCTAATTTCATTAAATACTAGAAAAAAAGCAGTATGAACTCTCTGGTCTCCCAGACATAAGAAAGAAAAATGTTCTTTCTATCTGTTTGTATATAACATTGATTACATTAAAATTATATATGGAAATGGGTTCCACATTTGCAATTAAAATTGATGGTGTGTCATCTCTTCTGTGTATTTTAGAACTTGTAGCCAAGACATCAAACCTTGAGAATGTAAAGTTTGCTTGGCATAACGAGACATCATCTGAATATCAAAGAAGAATGTTGGAGAAAAAGGAGGTTCAAAAGTGGGATTTTATTCATATGATTCAGGTAAGAATATGTATTATAAAAAGAAGACTTTTCAGATATATATAATATAATGAATACCTACTATTCTAACTTTTAAAAGGAAAATGAAAATCTTGTGATTTCTAATTTTACAAGTGACCATGATCTGCCGAAATAAAGGATAAAGATGTTTATAATACTAAGATTCTCTTTAACATTCAAAAAACCAGTTTTCTCTAATCAAAATACCTCTACAGTTATCCATTGTTAAAATGTTGGCTTAATTCTTATTTCTTTTTTCTTTTTTTATTATTTCTTTTTTTGAGATGGGAGTCTCGCTGTGTCACCCAGGTGGTGTGTGGTGGCATGATCTTAGCTCACTGTAGCCTTAACCTCCTGAGCTTAAGCAATCCTCCCACTCCAACTTCCTGGTTAGTTGAGATCACAGTTGTGCACCACCACACCCAACTAATTTTTTTATTTTTTGTAGAGCTGCGGCCATACTATGTTGCCCAGGCTGGTCTTGAAATCCTAGGCTCAAGTGATCTTCCCACCTCAACCTCCAACAGTGTTGGAATTACAGGTGTGAGCCACTGCACCCAGTCTTTAATTTATTTTTATATCATTGAATGTTTATATAGAGATTTGAGAATGATAACATCATAACATATTCTCTAGTGACTCTAAAGGTTTGGGTGGACCAATGTCCCAGAGTGTTTCTATAGTGGACATATCGTCGAAGGGGCAGATTAAATGATGCCTCAGTTCGATAAATTTGTACTTCTATCATCCAGATCCAACAAACTGACTCACACATGTTATAGAAAAGGAGTGACTATTGAGTAGATAACATGGGGCTGGATTTCCAGAGGTAACTAATATTTCTGAATAGCATAAGGGATGTATGGGTTTTGGACGCTGGTTACCATTGGGAAATGTACATATTTTGGCAATACCACTTGATTAACAACAAAACACTATTTTTCTTCCTGGTCTACAATGATAGTCACCCCAAAAGAATAAACTTACTACAAGTCAAAGGAAGAAATACTCCGATTTTGTCATATACAGGCAATTCTATGTCTCTGCTTCGTTAGCTGATGAAATCTTTTGCCTGTCAGGTAGTACTTATCACTGTCCAGGATGCCAAGATATTTCTCTACCAGATTTGCTTTTGGTCCCACTTCCTTACATAACTGTTTTATAACTCCCCTCTCTCCTTACTACTCCTGCAATCTCTCCCAGATCATTCCTTCTGAACCGATGACCTCACTTCACAATGTATAGAGAAAATAGAAACTACCAGATAGAAACTCATTTTTCACCTGCTAACTTTGCAAACATAACTGCATTTGTGCACCATCTCCTTCTTCCATCTTATTGCAAAAACCTCCTTTTATCAAAAAACACTCCCACTGCTTAACCCTGGATCCCATTCTTTTCTCTGTTATAAATGTTGTGATTTCGGGAATCAACTTCTCTTTCCTATTTCTCTTAAAACTTCCATGTTTGTTCCTTTTTTCTTACAGCAATTCTGTTTCCCTCTGCATCTGTATCCTGTTCTTCTCTCTCTATCTCTATCTACGCCCCATTTTTCTGTGCAGCATCTCTGCCTCTCTATTACTCACTATAGTCCTCACACTGTCATGATACTTTTACAACCTCACTGTTAATTCAGAAAATTTCACTGTCTATAAAAAAAATTTAAGGGATCTTCTATGGGCCACCTCTGCATTTCTAGCCAGGTCATATTGCAGATTATTAGTCATCATATTGATTTGCTATATTTGGGTACCTGCCTATGGTCCCTGTGGTGGAAAATGTGGAGTGTGGCCCCTAAGGCACCATGAGCCATGCACAGGTCAGGTCCATTTTATTTCATTCATTCATATGAAAAAGCCACAGCTAAAGTACTTTTCTTTTGTGCAATGAATTCTCTAAGGACAAGCTATATAGAACATTGAATTCTTGTCCAACAAAGATGAAGATGAGATATAAGAAGTGTCTATGGGGGTGGGATCCAAAGATGCAAGCCATGGGGAACAATTTCCCATTGTCAATACCTAAGTCCAAGCTCTGTGTTGGATGGAAAGGCCTGTATTTCACTAGAGATTGGTCCATAATTATTAAAAATGGGTGGCCTGACCCCTAAACTCCCTGTGGCCAAGCAGATAACCTCATGCTTTATTTAGTCCAACTTCCTACAGAATCTGTCATCATCAGAGCCTGTCACATTTTCTGTGATTTTAAAAAAGCATCTGTGAGCATATGGAGAAGCTAGTGCAAAGGGCTTAATTGTAAAGCAACGTTCCATGAAATGGGATCTGTTTTTATGGTGCCGAAACCATTTTCTCCCAGAAGAACTGCAATTCACAAATTATAGAATAGGCATAGGATTCATGTCCCTATGTGGAATGGTGACTAAGTGTCTCCAGCTATAAATGTCTGTGCTATGGAAGCCAGAAAGGGTAAATTTAAAACCATTTCACTCTAGTCGAACAAATACCATACTTTTCCATTTCCCCAAATATTTTCTCACATTATTGTTCTATGTCTTCATGCAACGTCTTTTATTTTTAAATTTCTTAAGTGTTTTCTTCGATAAAAATTAACTCAACTAGAAAAGCAAACTTTCTAGGAGTATCTAGCCCAAGCAATAAAGATTTCAACATAAAGAAGCATCTCATTTCTTTTTCCTCATTTCTAGATGCTGTATTATGTAAAAGACATCCCAGCTACCCTGAAATTCTTCCATAGTCTCTTAAGTACCAATGCTAAGATTCTCATTATTGTTGTGTCAGGTAAGTTATTTTCATTCAGCCTGAATTTAAAAACAGCAATAGTACATGTATGCATGGATCCCTGTGTTTGAAAGAAGCCTATATATTTTGTCTTCATTATGAAATTCTTGCCTTGGCCTCTAATCATCACCAACTAATTTTCACAGTATTAGGGAAGTCATTCACAACAGTTCTCAATTTAGAAGGTATAGTGGAATTAAACATTTTTTTACTTCTTTCTTTTGGTAAAATATGTCTTTCTCTTCTATATAAGAATCCTTTTTGTAAAGCTTAGAGTAAATTCAACTGACAAAAGATTTTAAATGAGACCAAAAATAGTAAACATTTATTTTACCTACTTTGTGCCATTTGAATGTTTCTTTTCCCTCTGTGATGTTTATTAATAAATAAGGGTTTAAATATTTCAGATATCATCAAATTTAATTAACTTGCATTCTTAGAGCCATGATCAACACTGCTTGCTATAGGTTTTTTCAAATCAAGAACATTTCTTTTGTTGTGTTTTGTGTTGGTGTTTTATTTTCTAGGGAGGCATGTGAGCATGACCAGTTGCTGCCAGGGATCTAGTGTCACACAGAGAACACAAGTAAACATTTTTAGATAATGAAACATTGACATTGTTGAGGACAATATTTATTACTTCTTTCATTCAGTAATCTTTATGGATTGTCCACCAGTAGTTATGGGTTGATTTTAGTTACACAGCAGACTCTGTCTCCCTAAGGTTATACCAGACCCCATACTTGGACACTGTATGTCAAAAAATTGATTTGTTCTTAAATATGAAGAATTGCTTTAAAGATGGCAAACATGGTTATAGTTTGTAATCCTGGGTTTGACCTTATGTGAAAGTTTGGCAATAGAGAGCTCCTGTACACAACCTCTTCCCGAAGGGAACATTTAGATACACTATTTTTATCTCTAATTCATTAAAAATACTCATTCATGTGGGAGAGGTCTTACTTCCTATTTAGAAGGGCTTATGGAAACTGGATTCATCCTACTAACCTCTCTCTGAACTAATAAAGTGCTATGAACTGCATTTAGAATTGCAAAGTAAACTTAGTTATCAACATTGTAGGCAGCCTATTCTTGATGATATTCATCAATCATACAGAAAAAGCATTGTACACAGAAATAACAATTCATTGAGAAGTCATATATTTTTTATCTTAGAATATGTTTCATCTCAATGGTAGGTCTAATCTCTTATTTATATTTGGTTTATTCCAACATATTTTCAGAAGTTAAGTATCTGAGCACCCAAAAGTTAGCTATCTATGAGTATATATTACCAATAAGACAAAGCCAGCCTGAAGTTTAGAAGGGAGCATGAATAGTCCACATGTAACTGAAAAGTGACTAAGTGCCCTTATGGCTACAGTATTCTGCTGGCTGTATCATGAATGAATTAATTGATGATTATTGGCATCAAGAAGCTTGAAGACCAAAATAAACTCAATGAAATGTGTTGTATGTTAATACACGGAGCAAGAAAACTGAGGCACTTCTAACTATGTGAATTTGGTCTCTGCATCTCAGTTTATTCAAGGGCTATTTCTGGATAACCATATCTGCATTATATTACATCTTTTCATATATGTGGTTCATGAGTACCATCTGTAAATAAACATTCATCATTTAAAAAATCAAAAGAAAGGGAGTAAAGACTCAAAAATCAGTTAGCTTTTTTAAAAAAGTATTTTGAGTCAAAAATTATTTAATCAATGTATTTGATGATGGAAATGTTTTATTCACTTTCTCAATATGCAGTTAACAATTCTTCATTACTGCTTATAGCACAGGAGACAGCTGTTCCAAAGAGGAAAACGTTGTTAATAGACACAAGAATGCAATGAATAACATTTGACAGATTATTAAAGAGATTTTGATGATCTCCTTCCTTACCATACGCACTTCTTAGAAGAGATTTACTTAGCTATAGCCATCCATTTTTTCCTAAAAGAAAAACCACTTAGCAAAAGTAGAAGAAAGATTTAGATATTTTATTTGGGGTTTCTGCTTCTCTTTCTTCTAAGGCTAAGAATGTCTTGCCTTTTTTTGCCTCTATTTGTCAGAATGCTAAGTAAATAAATTAATTAAATATAAGTTAATTTTTTAAAAACTCACTTTTCACATTAATGATTACTTTGCAGTGAAAAATAATTCTACCTGAAAAGAGAAATAGAATTGTGAACTATGTTGATCATTGTCATCAATTTAGTATAACTGGAATGTCCCCAGATTCTCCAGTCCTATGGGCATGTCATACTTAACTCTTAAACATCCAGAGTAAATGACGGAGCTCTCATTTCAGGTAACTTGGGTAATCCATCCCCTCATCACCATTCCTTTACTCCTGAGGATTCCTGGGGTCAGACTTAAATGTTCCTGGTGATTGCCATCCACTGCCTGCTCCAAGTTCAACTTTTGATTTCTTCTCTCCAAATCTTGCATGTAATGCAACTGCCCTTTCTCATCTTATTTCACATTGCCCTAAACATGGACATAGTCCTACCTCCTTCCTTCTCCAAAACACCATTCTTGCTTTTGACAGATGTTGAGACCTGTTGGGGAGAAAGAGGAACAAAGAACAGAATTCAGCATTAAGGTCCCACCGTGACTCTCCCTCACACCTCTCTCGCGCACACTCGACACCCCCCCACAGAAAACCCGCTCACAAAACCTCTCACACTCCCCCCACATACCCTCAGAGCACAGCGCAGAGACCACACCCCCACACTCTCTAGCAAAACCCTCTTTTAAAACTTATATTAAAAGCGCGGGCACACATCAAAAGGTGTCACACAGAGAAAAACGTCCCCGGCCAGGGGGGCGGTTAAAAAAAAGATTACATCACCAACCAAGTAATAAAACCACCAAACAATAATAATCTCTGCTCCTCCTCCTCCTCCCACCACCCTCCCTCAACAAGAACACAACAACGGCTGTTGCCTCCTTCGTGGTCATCAGCACTCATCATCAAGCACCCATCAATAATAAAGAAAAACAAGCAGTAGGTGGTCTGCTGCTGCGGCAGTAGTCTAAGAACAACAATAGCTGCCGCCACCAACCACCCCACAAAAAAAAAGATCACATCATATTTTTTTATGACTGCATAGTGTTCCATAGTGTATATGTATCACATTTTCTTTAACCAGTCTGTCACTGATGGGTATTTAGGTTGATTCCATGTCTTTGCTATTGTGAATAATCTTGCAATGAACATTTATGTGCATTCATCTTTATGATAGAATGATTAATATTCCTCTGGGTATATACCCAGTAATGGGATACTAAACTATACTATAGGGGGGTACAGTAACCAAACAGTATGGCACTGGTACCAAAACAGGCACATAGACCAATGGAACAGAATAGAGAAACCAGAAATAAGGCCACACACCTATGACCATCTGATCTTTGACAAAGCTGACAAAAACAAGCAATGGGGAAAAGACTTCCTATTCAATAAATGGTGCTGGGATAACTGGCTAGCCATATGCAGAAGATTGAGGCTGGACTCCTTGCTTATACTCTATACAAAAATCAACTCCCTATGGCTTAAAGACTACCCAAAACTATAAAAACCCAGAAGACAACCTAGGCAATACCATCCTGCACATAGGAACAGGCAAAGATTCCATGACAAAGACACCAAAAGCAATAAAAACATTGGCAAATGGCATCTAATTAAACTTAAGAGCTTCTGTACAGCAAAAGAAACTATCAACAGAATAAACAGACAACCTACAGAAAGGGAGAAAATATTTGCAAACTATGCGTTTGACAAAGGTCTAATATCCATCATCTATAATGAACTTAAATTTACAAGAGAAAAACAATCCCATTAAAACGTGGGCAAAGGACATGAATAAACACTTCTCAAAAGAAGACAGAGATGTGGCCAACAAACATTTGAAAAAAGCTCAGCATCACTGATCATTAGCAAAATGAAAATCAAAACCACAATGCAATACCATCTCATACCAGTCAGAATGACTATGTATTAAAAAGACAAAAAATAACAGATGCTGATGAAGTTGTGGAGTAAAAGGAACACTTATACATTGTTGGTGAGAGTGTAAAGTGGTTCAACCACTGTGGAAAGCAGTATGGCAATTTCTCAGAGAGTTAAAAGAAGAACTACCAGTTGACCCAGCAACCCTCTTATAGGGTAGTTTAATTCCCTTTTATTCTATTTCTGTCACCTAGATAAACCTGTGCATACATGAACTTGTCTTAATAACAACACATTTCCCTGAGATAAATTATTTTGCTCCCCTCCCTGAGATGAGCCTCATCTCATTCATAAAGCATCAGAAGAAGAGTTCAGTTCATGTCTATCTCCCTCAGATAAGGTATATGATGAAGGTGACTGTAGTTTCCTATTTTTAAAAAATAGCAATAGCTGCTTTGTTATATTAACATACCCAATACAAATATATTGGTTAGCTTTTGGAAAAATAGATAAAATCTAGTTTCCAACATTGGGAACAAATTTGATCCCAAGAAATTTCTAATCAGACATTTTCATATCCATGTCAGTGAACAAAATAATTCTTTAAACCCCATTTTTCATTTACTCAACAGATTGAAATATTTCCTAAAGTTGAATATTGACCTAGAACTTGGAATATCTATACCACATTGGTTTACACTAGGTTCTGTTTTTATCAAGATTCTTTGGGTCACTTTCTCAATGGAATTTGCCTCATAATTACCTAAAAGGGAAGATGCTTCTGTGTATGTTCATTTGTTGCAGGGTAATATTGTCATCCATAGCTGCTCTGCAATGCACAAAACTGAGTACTCATTGTATACAGGGAGGCACATAGGGAGATTCATCTCTGTTCCTAGATGTTTGTAAAGACTTTGGCACAGAGACAATACTCAGTAAACATGTTTTAATTGAACTGACTAATTGTTTATTATTTCTGCCCTATGATATCAGAACTACAATAAGCTCTGAACATACATCCAAGGACAAAGAGTATATTTCAACTAAAACTGACTTGATGAAATCAGAGAACATAGGAATTTCTGGATATTTGCAGATGGAGTTTAATAAATAGGAATAAAAGACTCAATAAAAAAGACACACACACACACACACACACACAGAGCAAATGGAAGCAGCCAGACAAAAGCAATGAAGAACAACTAAAACTAATTAGGGAAAGAAAAATAAATTGAAATAAGAATTAAATGACAACATTTACTGGTCAGCTTATTGAAATTTATGTTGCTTGATGGAAATCAACCTTTCCTCTGTGTTTGTAAATATCTATTACAGAATTACCCCAACTCAAGAGATAGTCATTTAGTGATAACTAGTAGAAGTTCCTGATAATGGAGATGAAAGAAATTTGATCTGGGGATAAAAAAGAAGAGTCATAAGAACAAGGGAGTTGGATTTCTCAAAAAAATGTGGAGTATCCCACACTAAAATTGTATCAAAGAAATGTTTTTTCTGCAAATGTTATAGCCAAACATCAATTGGGAGGGTTGCTATTTAAAAGGCAGCCTGTCTGGTTAAGGGAGATGAGCCAGAAGGAGATCTCCTTCTGAAGAACAAGATTCAGAGACTGAAGCTTCTGTCTGTCCTCTCCTTACCTGAGTAAGGAAGGAGGCAAATCATTGTGTGTTATTTTTAACGCAGTGAAAAAAAAAATCTGGTTTACATCATGTTGAAAACAAAAGTAACACCATATGTTGTGCCCACCGAGAGCCATTATGATAATGCATCAGTCGGGAAGTGCATAATTGCTCAACTCAGAAATGGCACCAAGTCACATCACTGACACCAGCACATTTTCTGCAGTTAGTGTTTGGTTCTTTTTTCTCTGCCAGGTTAAAAATAATAATAATGATGATAACAGAGCCTCTCTTCAGCCACCGAAATGCTGATTTTCTTGTAATGTCTTGTTTGCCGGCAAACTCTTATTTAGGAAGACAATTCATTGTCTTTGGAATAAAATATTTTGTAATAAATACTCACAACCCTCATTTATTTTCATTGAACGGAAGTTTTATTCTTTCTACTTCATTCCAATTCCACCTTCTCCTAGAGCATATCCTATAGTTACCTCTCCCTCTTCTGAAATATAAGTAGAACATCAATTATCCTAGGCTATTTATTATTTAGCCTATTATTTGTCTTGGTTCATCTCTTGGGTTGAATTAAATCTGGGAACTTTAGCTTAATCCATGCATGAGAGTCAAGGGTCTTTGAGCATTCTATAATCATATGCAGAACTGTGTGGGTATGTATTGTTTGTGTATTTTTCTGGAGAGTCAGTTACTCTCACTAAATCATAAAGGGGACTTGGGAACCAAAAGTAGCTCAAGACATGTAATCCTAGAAGCACAAAGAAGGTGTAAGTTGTCTCTTATACTGCTTTTCCCAAATCCAGTTTAACACTTCAGTAATGTTAACTAATGTGTCATGGTTCTAAGGGCCTTTACTTTATTAGCTCAGTGAATCCTTGTAGCAGTCTATGAATGGATTATATTATCACCCCTGTTTTACAGATGATAAAACTGAGACAGGTTCATAAAGTTGGTAAGAGGGAAAGCCAGGCTTCATACTCAGGCAATTGGGTTTTAGAGACCATGCTCTTTATTACTGCCTGTACTGACTGTGTATGTAATATGCATGTATTAGAAGGCCCATAAATAGAAACTCATTATTATTATAGATTTCTGAATAGCAGGTTTGCTTTTTTAGTCTCAAGATTACAATCAGTGGAAATGCACTAGCAGACTAATTCATGTATTTTATAAGCACTTATTACACATCTTTCATCTGCTTACCACTGTGCAGTAATTCACTTAAATTATCTCATGTAATGCTTGTAGTTGCATTCAAGGTAAGTAAGATAATCCACATTTTACAGATGAGGAAATTTAAGTTCTGAGAGGCTCATCTCACAAGCCTCATCTCGTTCATAAAGCATCAGAAGAAGAGTTCAGTTCATGTCTGTCTCCCTCAGATAAGGTATTCCTTAGCTTCTCTGCAGGGTTAGAATTTCAGTTAAATACTACAAACATTACTTAAGGGTCTTCTGAACTTGGGGACAAGATTTATAGAAATCCACCTAGTTATTGTCAGTCCAAGGCAGCATCTTTTTTTATATAGAGATGAGAGTAAAAAATCATTTATTTGAGAAAATCATCATTACTGTGCTCTTTTATTCCATTTTAATTTTTACTGTTCAAGATTCTTGTCTGAATTCCAGACTAATAACTACCTTTCTCATGTCACCACCTGAATATCCACTAGGTATCTCAAATCTATATTCCTGAAACCAGAGGCCTGATGATACAAAACTGCTCGTCCCTCATTCTTCTCCTCTCCAATAATGGCAATTCTGTCTTCTCAGGCTCCTACGCAGAAATCACTGGGGTCATCACTGATATTTCCCGTTTACCCATATCCTACTTCCAAACTATTGGCAAGCCTTGTTGGATCTAGGAGTATAATACATAAAAACTCCCACCACTTCTCTTCACCTCCCAGCTCGCTGGTCTATGGGACCTGCCCCCACCTATCCCCAGGTGATTATAGTAGCCTTCTCACTGTTCTCCCCACCTCTGCCCTTATGCTCTAGTACTCTCTTCTCATCTGTGTGGCCAGGGTGACCTTATTAAATGTATATTGAGTCATCCTAATGTGCTGTTCCATACAGAAACCATGTTTTGGTAGTGAAGTTGAAACTGCAATTAATTTAAATGAATGCAACTTAAAATTCAGGTCTTCAGTCATACTTGAAACTCAAGTCCTAAGCCACCTTTCAAGTGCTCCATAGCAACAAGTGGTGAGTGACAATCTTGCTGGACAATGCAGATATAGAATGTGTCCATCGGTTCAGAAAGTTCTATCAGACATCATTATGGTGGTTTCCCATTGGGCCCCAAGTGATCTGGCTCCTTCATCCACTCCCCACCCCTAATCTTTCCAACCTCATCTCCTTCCCCTCTGCCCTCACTCATTCAGCTCCAATTTCACTGGCTTCCCAGCTAGTTCTTTAATGGGCCAAGTATCATCCTGCTTCAGGTCCTTTGCAGCTGCTCATCTGTCTCCTGGAGTCATCTTCCACCTGATATCTTCATGGCTTGCTGTCAGGTCTCTGCTAAAATATCAGGTTATTAGAGAGATTCTGTGACCACCCTAGTTAAAACAGCAACCCATCAAAGTCTTTAACCCTCTTAGCACTTACTCAGATTACTTTTTCATTTAGCATTTATCACCATATATTTACTTATTTTTCTCTCTCCTCCCGTACTCCTTGAAATATGAGCTGCACAAAGGACAAGATTATTATTTTGTTCTATTCTAAGCATCTAGTGTACTTTCTGGCAGACTGCAAATGAAAGAGAGAATAAATGAAAGCATGAATTGTGTTTTATTGCACAGGAAGCAGTGGCTGGGACAAGCTGTGGAAAAAGTACGGATCACGCTTACCCCAGGATGACCTGTGCCTATATGTCACGTCAGATGAGCTCACTCAGATGCTGGACAACCTAGGGCTTAAGTATGAGTGCTACGACCTTTTGTCCACCTTGGACATATCTGATTGCTTTACTGATGGTAATGAAACTGCAGACCTGCTTTGGGATTTTTTGACTGAAACCTGCAACTTTAATGCCACAGCACCACCTGATCTCAAAGCAGAGCTTGTGAAAGATCTACAAGAGCCTGAATTTAGTACTAAGAAAGAGGGGAAGGTTCTTTTTAATAATAATCTGAGTTTCATAGTGATTGGGGCATAATTATCAATCACAAAAGTATATTCAAAAATTATATTTTGAACAACTCTGATTGCTCATTTATTTCCATATTAAAATTATAAACACATACATTAATGTAGATAAAGCACTGTTTGGATATGAGAAGTAGTGAATTCCAAGACATTATTGGACTTCCTTTTGGAATCATATGGGACACTGCTGGTCTTATCCTGTCCCTCCTCCAGGAAGAGAGACCACATGCAGGCTCAACATAACATAACCTAGAAAAATTAGATGACTGAATTTCTATGGCATATTGATAATAAAATTCATTCCATTTGCTGATTGTCTGAAATTTTCTAGAATAATAATAAAATATATACTATAGATTCTTTATTAGTGAAGTATGCACTTATCAATACTTTGAACACAAAGCCTGTGTTACTGATTTGGCCATTTTGTGAAGAAATATTTCTCTTTGTACATTCTTCTATTGTACTTTTTATCTCACTTTTATTAATTTTTATGAGTAAGCACCTTTAGAATATTAAAAATTAATTCTTTATCTTGTGTTGTCATTTCTTCCCATTGTGTTTCTCTTATAATTTTATCTGTGAATTAATAGCTTTTTGTTTGTATTTTTGATATACTGGAGTTTTCTATTATATTCAGCCAAATTTTTTAAAGTCTGGGCTTTGACACATTTTAAAAGAGCTTCTAAAACCAAAGTTTTAGAATACTAACATTTTATCAAAATATTATAGTTTTGTTTTTTTCAAAAAATGAAATCTTTAATATGTTTGAAATTTAGGTAAGTATAACAGTGAGAACAAACTGTTTCCCCTCAAAATAATAGCCAGATGTATAAACAAAATTTATTGAAGAACAAAAAAACACAAAACTAAAACCTGTTCTAGTTTAAAATGCACCTTTTACCAGATTTCTAGGAATTGCATAAATGCAAGATTCTAGAAAACCTTCAATGCATTTTGATACTTTATAGTTTCTTATGTCACTCTTAAGACCTCCTGTAAGACCAAGAGTCATTTGGACTGTAGGATTTCAGGGGGGGTTTGAAAACATATTTGATGTTTCTTTTTTTTAATAATAACCCTCTATCATTTTTTACATAAACAGTACATATCTTTAGATAAGTAAATAGCTAATTTAATAATTAATAAATAAATATTTTAAGTATACAAATAATTAGTACTCCCTGTCAGAAACAAAAAAAAAAGTAAGGTTTTACTAAACAGCTCATGAGCCCTCATTCTGCCAATGAGGAAGCCTTCAACACGGTGTGATACTCACTCTTTCATGTAATAGGACTTCCATGTAATGCTGATGTATAATCACTCTAAAAACTTAAACGACCCCTCTCAATCACCTAGTTTATCCCCAGGGAATATACTGGCATAGAGAGCCTATTTACACTAATAAGCTACCAAGCTTTGTTGTTCATAATAAGTAAGACAGACTTGCATTGTTCTCTCTTTTTTTTGGACAACTTCATCAATGCTTTTTGAATTATACGTTCCAACAAATGAAACGACAGTTCTCCAATCAGATTCCTGAGTATGAACACTGAATCATTAATCATACTGATATGTGCTGCTGACAAAGGAAATCTGTGAGGCACATATGATTGATGGGTATTGGTCCATGAAGACCTGGAAGAGCTTCACCAGAAATATGGAAATCAAGACTTTACAGAGTCTTTTGTATAAAGCACACATGCAAAAACAAACAAAAATAGAACTAACAATCCTATTGAAAGATGCAAAACAATTACAGTCCATAGATTGGTGTTTGTAAATATGACCTTTTTCTCGTCCTTGTTAAACCTTTAGTATACAAGGATAAATAAATTCTCACCTGCTTAATTTTAATGCAATTGAAACACACAGCTGTTTTAAAGAGAGAAATTCCATGAAAACCTACTAGTTAGCAATGGGAAGCTAGATATGTTCAAGGGATAAACCTATCCCTGATTTCTTCTTGCACTGTATGATATTACCAAAATTTGGGGCAGTCACACGCTGGCTTTTCAGGTTTGTTCTCGTGTTTCAGAAAAAAGTGCTCAGGGTGAATTTGGAATGTTGTTTTATGTATCATGGATCTCTCAGTGTTTAACGTGGTGCCTTGCATATGGTAAATGCTAAGTAAAGGGGCATCAATGAATTCTTTCCTTCTCAAACATTTATTTTGTACCTTGTGTGTTCACATTATTATTATAAACAGAGCTCAAGAAAGCCAACAAAGTTACGTGTTGCCATTAGTATGAATGTAAACCTTAACTTATTTAGGACTCTTTCAGACACTTTTTTTGCACGTATTGTTAGGGCATATTGCCAAAACCCAAAGTGAAAGCATGATATGGAGCACAGCATTTTAGGGCTTGATATTTGCTTATTATAAAAATTGGCGACTTTCTTAATTAAAAACCCTGCCATTCTGGGCCATAAAAATTAAGTAATTTCTAATGCACATCCATAAAAAGAGATGCAAAGGCCATAGAGAATACTAGATCTTAAGTCTGTGGAACTGCACAGACCCAAATGTATATTTAATGTATTTTAAATGTTTGTTTAATGAGAATAGCTTGCACATAATACTTTATTATTGAAATCACATTTGCATGTGTCACCTCATCAGAATGTTACTTCTAAGAAAATGTGAACTTCTTGCGAAGTCCCACAGTGGAGTGAGTGGATTAAAATAACCTTGTTAAATAAAGCTGAAAAGCCGGACTTAACTGGGTACAAATTCTAGTTGTATTAATTACTCACCAAGTGACATTAGGCACTTTATTTTCTCTCTATTCTCATATTTCTTCATCTGCAAAATGAAGTGAATCATAGTATATACCTCAGAAGATGGTTATGAGAAGCCCAGAAGTTAAGCTTCATAAATATGCACATAAAGTGTTAGACTCGTCAGGAATACTCAAAAATATTAACCACTGCTGTTATTAGTTACTCATGGAAACTCAATACAAAATGCAGAATAAATAAAAAGGTTAAGGAAAATTACAACTAAGGCCAGAGAGCTAGTACTTGTAGGATCTGGCCTAGTTTCTGACCTTGAGATTCTTAGCCACAGGAAGATGGCCCTCTGTGTCTTTCAGAGCTAAGCTGGTCGTCCGAGAGACTCAACATGCCTTCAGGATTGCACCATCCAAGCCCCAACTTAAGGGATCTGCCTCCTTTAGCTATCCATGCTCTAAGTGCCTGTGCTCAGTACTATGTGAAATGGCCCCATCTCAACCCTGCCTAATGAGACTGTCCAGCTGTCACATGGATAGAAACCTATAAGCAGAAATTGATGAAACTGTCTTTCTGAAAATTATGAAATGCATCCATTAAAAATTCTCTTAAAAATTTGAAACTACAAATCTGGGGCAATGAGACATTCATTCATTTATTCGTGATATATACAGTTAATCAGTATCTATTGAGTTCCTCTTAGGTGTGAGGGAGTTTTCGAAGCAAAGGACATATCACAGGAAAACAACAACAACAACAACAACGAAGTTCCAGACCTCATTGACCTGATTTCTAATGGGTGAAATAGACAAAAAATAAATATTTGGCAGAGAATGATAGGTGGTATTAAGAAAATAGAAGTAAATAAGGGGAAAAGAGTACCAGATGGTGTAATATTAAGTGAAGTGATCAGGGAAGCTATCTTTAAACAAATGAGATTTGAACAGAGATTGAAATGCAGTGAAGGAGCAAACCATGCATAGAGTTGGGAAAAGAGCATTTGAAGAAGTGCGAATACAAAGGCCCTGAAGTGGAAATGAGCTTGACATATCTAAAGGACAATAAGGAGGCGAGTTGGCTTTCTATAGTAGCTGAGCTGAAGGGCCCTAAGATAGATTCAAGTCTAGAGTCGCCACTGTGGGCCACATGTGGGAGGACCTCATTGGGTTGCCATGGTTTGAAGGTGAGGCATGGAACCAACTTGCAGAGAGAATGAGAGATGCCAGGAGTGTAGGACCACATGGGCTTGGAATGGGAGATGAGCTTTGGCTGTCTCAAGGAAGGGTCCTTGCAATTTCTATTCCCGTCTGTGTCTAACCTGAAAACGAATACCATTTTACTCCAGGTGTCCTTGTGGATGTCTGCTTCTTGCCTCCCAAATGTCTTAGGGAGAGCAAAATAGAAGATCTTATTTGGTTCTTACCTCATGAATTAGAAAGATTATTTATTATTATCCTATTTCATAGGTGAGGAAACTGAGATACTAATACATTGAACAATTTAACCCAACTCCCAAAGCAAGTTGATAACAGGAAATTAGTCAAACCCTATATCTACCAACTCACACTGTATGTCTACATATTGGACAAGTTAAATATGTGATAATCATTCATCTTAGATGCAGAGTATGACTTCATAGAACTAAATTACCATTGCCCCCAAATATCCACTTGCACATTGAAGGGGATCTGATCATAAAAGGGAAGAAGAAGCAATTAGAGGATCAGAGTACTATGAAAAAAAATCACCTCCTTGAATAACGAGATAGGACTCTTTCTAAATACTACACTTCACTAACAAGTTCATTTTAAGCTTGTCATAAATGTCTGATTTTTCCATCCCATTGCCTTGACTTTTGCCTGTATTTCTCTGCCTCACCTCCTACCAGGTCCCAGACATCACCAATTTCATGTTTAAATTATCTGTCATCCATACCCTAGCTCCCCTATGATACATAAACTGTGCAATACACATCCATAGTACGCAATCAACTAATGCAGGATAGTTAAAGCTAAGGATCCTGTAATCCATTTCTCAATGTGATATACACCATAAAAAGGCAACTGCAGTAAAAGGGGGGTTGATTTAAGAGGCTCCCTGGCTAATGACAGTCACAATTTCTAAACGTGCCAAAAATTAATTAGGACTCTGAGTCAGACTGTAGTAATCTCTGTGGCAATGGATTAATAAATACAACAAGACACTGTTCTGGAGGCTGCACTGACACACGGGGATACTCTGTATAAGCAGTGTCTTTCCATGATCATATTCTTCTCTTGAAGAATTGTCTGTGTTTCCTGATTTGTCTTAATGATACTTGAAGGACTTTGCAAACAACCTGCTTAGGATAGAAAATGTTGAAATAAATCATAGGAGCCATCAGGTATAGTCCAAGTTTGGTGAGTTCTCCAAAGACATTTGCTATAGAAGATGCAGAAAAGTGTCAGTACCTTTATTTATGTTCTACAGCTAATTTCATGCTAATTTCATTTCTATACTGTGATTCCTTTTTCTGCATGTGTTGATATATGAGTTTCATGAGTTAATTCTCTGGTTTTCAATGCAGGTAGACTGGACATGAATCCCAGGGTTTTGTAGAAGAGGCAGTTGTTCCATGCTGCTTGTTATCAGCATGAGCACACTGCAGCCTTAGCTTATTTATCAAGATATTGCTGCCATGCTGCACATTTCCCAACAGACTTCATCTACCCCACAATAGCCTTTAATGGAAGGTGCATTACCCTCCTCATGGTTTGTTTATAATTATTTTTATTAGGGTTTTTATTTCTCCAGGACTGACTG